ACTGGGCCTGGTTTCATGAGAATTCTTCTGAATCGGGGTTTGGACTTTGTGGACTTGACACTAATGCAAGATAACCAAAGGCCTTTCTACCGGTTGCATAGAATCATACTTGGGTTTGTGACCTAACATACCCTTGATAAAGGGCTATCACCAAACCTACCTCTGAGAATGTCCTAAATCACAGACTCCTAGACGTGGAAGGGACCCCTGAGGCGGCCATGGAATCCAACCCCCAATCAGTGCAGGAATGCAGGTTAAGGCATCTCCAGCAGACAGCTGCCGAGCCTCTGCTTCAGCACATCCAGTGAAGGACAGATGCAAACCTCCCTTGCTTGTTGATAGGGCAGAAGATCTCCCATTCACAGGTCCTCCACCATATACCTAAATGTACTATGTCCAATTGGCTGGGCATTTTGTTTAAACAGTGGGCAACTGGCCCCTGCATTTAGTTGTTGGGTTCTCTATTAGGTTTGATGTCAAATCAGTTCTATTATTCTTTGGACACATCATGTGAAGACCTAGCTCTCTGGAGAAGACTAATGCTGGGAAAGGTGGAAGGAAAAAGAAGGGGATGGCCAGCAGCCAGGGGGATGGACTCAGTTACAGTGGCAAGGGGAGACTTGAAGGAGCTGGTTAGGGACAGATCATCCTGGAGAAAATGTATCTGTGTGGTTGCTAAGAAGTTGACACCAAATCAATCAATCAATCAATCAATCAATCAATCAATCAATCAATCAATCAATCCCTTTTAAAAGGACCCCTATTTCTAATGTGCTGTAATCCAGTGCTTTTCAAACTGCATTCTGTGGAACTGGGAGTTTTGTGCAAAATTGATGGGGTTCCATGAGGACCCCCCCCAAAAAAGTTCACTTGAATGCAAGCTTTGCCTCTTAGTTAGGGGGTTCGGGATTTTTTGTTTTTAAACAAGTTCCACAGCCTGAAAAAGCTCGTCCAGCATAGGCAGCAGCAGGACCCTTTAACGCTTTCCTGTTCCTCTGCTTTTTAGTTTCCTGTAACTTGGCTGTTTTCTACTACGAAACCAATATCCAGGATATGAACTGCATTCACGTGTACTGCCCAGCGCTGGAAAGCTGCATAGTGAAACCCACAGGCGGTGTGGTCCTCTACAATATTACGCCAGGTAAGGCGTTAGCACACCCTCAAGGGGGGAAGTGATTTGCATACGTGCATAACTAAAACCCAGCTTTTTTTTTTTTTTTTTTTTAAAGACCAACAACTCGAGACAGTAAAACTTTACACCAGAGAAGCTGGGAGGGAGCACCAAGTATTTAATTTTCTTCTCTGTGTAAACCACACCCTATGGTTAATAACAATAATAGTTATAATACTATTTTATTATGCGTTGATGGCTAAGCTAGATGGTGTCTTAAGAAGTCTTTTACTGTAGAAAGTCGTTTGCTTTCTTAGAAAGTGTGCCGGGATGAAGTTGGTGGAGATAAGCTTATAGATTATTCAGAAGCAAATGGTACCTTTGGATGAGAGGAGAGAAATTAAGCCTTTGTTCCTTCTCGGATTCTGCTTTCACAGGGGTCGATCCTGATCTTCTTGTTTTTGAGAAGCTCTCGTTCAAAGATATCAACACCAGGTCTTCTTTTAGTAAGTGGGAGAGGCATGGCGGGGCACGGGTTGCTGGCCTAGAAACAAACCAGGATGGACTGTCCTCCCCAAGTTTCCTTCTCCTGGAGGCCCCCCCTCTCACAACAGCCCCAAGGCCAGCTGCAGAGAGGAGTAGCAGGAGCTCAGGAGTCGCTGCTGCCGACAGGAATTCACCCGTCACGTTTATGGCGTTGGCTTCAGTGACGGACCATTCTGTGAAAGCTGCAGAGGCTCTTTCAGGGAGGAATAGCTCCACGACTGCTTCAGACAATGCCAGGGCGTCTCCCGTCTCTGGACTTGCGCCCATTCAGATGGCATCGCTATCACCCGGTGTGGTCCTTCCAGATAACAGCAAACACTTGAACGAAACCAAAGTCTACAGCGGAAGGAACAACAGTTCCAATGAGGAAGGCCAGCAGCCGGTGCAGGAGGTCACGGGAAGGGGGACCTGGTTGCTTCTGACCGTGCTTTGTTCTTTGCTGGCCTTCACGTGCTGCTGCTGCAGCATCTTTTGGGCAACAGGATGCTCCTGGAAGAAGAGAGGCCGCTATAAACCGAGGCAGAAAGGAAGGTCAGCGTCCAAGCAATTCATAAAATACAATGCCATTAAAAATAGTTTTAATGGTCGAACATTCCAAATTCAGCAGGAATGGAAGGACTGATATTCCAAACAGGGGATGTGGACTCATGGGGGCAGAAAGAAAAATGTTAACTGTTTTACTTTAGAGAGATTTAATCCATGTTGAATGGATATTTAACCATTAAACTAGAATATTCTTATTACAGAATGGAGAACAATTCTAGCTGGGAATCTTCCGAGAGCAAAACCACTGGTTTGGCTACTCCAAGCTCAGAGTAGAACCTTCACGTTCGCAGAATTTTGTTCCAATCTTAGGAAAAAAACGTACTGGTTTCGTACTGAAGACAAAGCAATAACCAGGGAAGTGTGTTTTTCATGTTTTTCAGGGGGTGTTCAAGTGAATCTGTGTCATGCCGCTCTTTTGGGGGGCTTCTGTGACTTTTTTTTTGTAGACACGCTGCAAAAAACCTAGATGAAACCATGCTTAGACTGTATGTAATGGGATTTGTTTCTTCATTCTTTTATAAAAATAATTTCCTTGGCCAATTTTACAGTAGCTTAAGAAGTAGTTAGCAGCTAGTCTAGACTATCACTCCTGCCACATGTGTGGCTAGAAAAGTAGAATGAAGGAGTGCAGGGCTTGTTCTGGGGGTCTGTTTGTCCTCTATGGTAGAACATTCAGTATAGTTCGAGTCTGGTTCCTCTGGACCATAGTCAGCTCAGAACAATATAAATGGTAGTCTTACCCTGATCTCAAATCTTTTCCATTTCATGCATGCCTTTCATTCTTATCTCTGCTCAGCAGATCCTCAACTCAGGTTTCTTTAGATAGTTATCTTCGTACTGGACCTTTGGAAGACTGAAGTTGCTTAAGCCTGTTAAGGGAGTCCATGATTAAGAGGCAAGATCAACGAAGTCAACCCTGGTATACAGGCATTTATTGCAGGCTAAAAGCTATCAACACAGTACTGATGTTCAGTCTTAAGTATCTTTTCCAGTTATTTATTTTGCAGGTAATGTGCAAATTGCAGTTGTCACTGCCGTTATAATCTTACAAGCTGTTTACACAGTTCCATTTCTTCTCCGCAGTTTATTTCCAATGCCTGCAAGCAGCCTCATCCAGAAGTCCTTGCTGGCTTTTTCCTACCTTTCTTTTTACTTTTCACAAATCAAGCTATATATTTCTCCTCCCCAAAGACCCAGTGTCTTTGCACATAAAGATATTATAATGTATTTCCATCATAATCATGTTGAATTCTGGCCATTGACCGTAAGACTGACATAAGGCTACATACAAGGTGAAATTCTGAGCATGCTTGTCTCTTTCTCACACCCGGTTATGCCAAACAAAAAGTTTTTTAGAATAGCATTGCCTATTGCAAGGTATGAAAGTTCTAGCTTCCACAGACAATATTTTTATACAGAAAACTGATCCATCTGATGTGAAATCTTAAAATGTGCAGGCTACTGGATTAAAAGATTTTTCTCTAGTATCTATTTAGCAATCTGATGATTTAGAATAGATAACATCTTCATTCTACTTTGAAGTACTCCAAATTAAAAAGGAGGGTCTGCAAATCTTGGAAAGGCATGCTTCACTGATATAAGACCACTTAAAAACCAAGGTAGAGCCATCACACACTTTGAAAAACTGGCTTCTATGGATCTGGAGCAGCAGCGTCTGTTGGACTGAAGCAGCCTGATCAACGTTGTCTTGATCTTCTTCAGAAGCAAAGCAGTTGGCCTCCTGGGAAGAACTTTGCTATGTCAAGGCAGAACACCATGTCTCAGTGAGGTGGATCAACTGCAGACCAAATACTTAAGACATCCTGGCATTATTGAAAATTTTATTTGGAATATCTCCATCAGTACACACACAGCATTCCACAAAATAATTGCTTACATTACGAGCCATGCAAGTTTAACAGTCGCTTCACTGAATTTTTATACTCCAAAAGATGCTTTTCTGTTTCTCCTTCATTTTTCAAGAGAACCATGGACTTTTTGTAGTCCTGAATCACCTCTAAGGCAAGAAGCTCCTCTCTGCTAATTTCTTCAGCTTTTTCAGCTGCTCTTATCTGAAGCAATGTCCTTAATGCATTCTTCTCAGAATCACTGTTCTCCCAGACATACTCCTCCATATCTGCTTCTGTAATTTCTTTTTCCCATGGTTCTGTTTTCTGGAAGTCAAAACAAAAACAAAATCGGTGAAAAAACTGAAGTGAAGGATCAGCACTGCAGTCATGTGGTTTAGGGTAGCACCTTCCAAAGACCCTGATGCGCCTCCAAAGCTAAGCACAAGTTCAATAATGGTTAGTGAACCTGCTATTTAAGACAGCTGATCACCCTTCCCAATTTCGCCCAGCAATGGGAAGTCACATATCCCCAAATACTTGGCTAAATGCTCTAAATTTTGGTAGCAAGATTTAAACAGCTCTTGACTGAACAGCCCATGGTTAGAAGGTCAGAAATGCTCTCTTACCTTGGGAAGTGCCACAGAAAAGGGAGACAAAGGTGTATTCAGTGGCTTGTAGGATTTGAGTGGGTTGTCTCTGCTGCTTAACATGTCATGAAAATACCATCCACTATTTTTTTGAAAGAACAGCAGCAGCCTGTTCTGCCAAGAGACTTGATAACCTCCCCTCTGCCAGAAGACTGTAAGTTGACTTTCGTGAGTTGGGGTAGTGATGGCAGTGCATTTCCCTGTTCATTTTATTTACTAGCCCTCCTAGGCACCTCCAACCATGACTCCAGCATGACTAAGGAGGTTTCTTTATGGCCCTGATTCTAAGCCACTGACCCAAAGGTGGCGGTGATGGGTAAGCCCCGTAATGTATCCCAGTTATAAGTTGTTTGTTAAAATGTAAAGAAGCAGGGAAGTAGAAGGGTAGAATTCCTTATTATAGGAATATACAAGAACCTAAATGGTCATGGAACAATTAGGCCCAATGCCCACAGAGTCCAACTTCCAGCACGGCCTATAACTGATGCCAATGTAAAGCTGCAACTCAGCTTCAAAATAAAGAGGTTCTTGAGGAGCCCCAAGACCTACACCACAGAGGTGTGGCTCCCACTCAAAACCTATTACTCCTACACCAGTATTTTCCTTTATAGAAGAAAGTCGTCAAACAGGCACCCAAACCCATCTTCTGCCTTCCATTAAGAATATGTAGTACCTTCCCCTGCTTTCACTTCCCTTGACTTCAATCTTTTGCGCAAATTCTGGTGCTTCTGCAAAGCCAGATTAAAGACTTCCAAGCCACCAGATATCTGCAGAATGAACGGACTCCTACAAATGTCTGCACCACCTCTATGCATGCAAAAACTTAGTTTTGCCACTCGGTGGCAGTAAATGTTAATTTTTCATCTTCAGGACTCTGACTCCCTCCACTGAATTCACACTTTAGCCCTTTAAAAAGCCACAAAGCTGAATTATTGTGCAGTTTCCATTCAGGATGGTGGTTTATGCTAGAATGGATGGGATTTTATCCTCTCGTTTAATCTCACAGGATTGCTGGTAAGTTAAGTTGAAAAACAAGACCCATGTATTCTGCCCTTGTGATAAACAGAGGTTTGTCTGGTCAAAAGGCTGCATTTCTCTGAGGAAAGACCCACCCCTGATGGGGTTGTGAGTTCCTACTCCAGTCTTGCATGAAGTCATTTGGAGCAAGGCAACCGCATCTTGCGCCCCCTCCCTGGACCGGGAGGCCCTGCTCATGGCCACCCACTCCTTAGTCACCTCCCGCTTAGACTACCGCAGCGTGCTTTTCGTGGGGCTTCTCTGGAAGGTTCAGCTGGTCTCGAAGGCCGCTGCGTGCGTGGCTCTGAGCGCGTCTCATTACACTCACGCAACACCGCTACTCCGCAAACAGCTCTAGCTTCCACGTGGGAGTGAAGGGGCCAGTTCTCACCTTTAAAGACCCACCTGGCATAGGACTGAGCTACTGGTGGGTCCGTCCCTCGCGCTCCCACAGGGAGGCACGCTCCAGGTTCCCTTTTTCAAAGGCTGCCCTCTCACAGGCCTTTTCTGTGGCTGCCCCCGGCTCTGGAATGACCCTCCCTGCCCCCCAGTATATGACAGGCCCCAACTCTGCTTGCCTTTAGGAAAGTTGCTAAGACCAGGCTTTTCCCCCAGGCATTAGGGGCCAGTTGAGGGGACCCCCCTTTCGGTTGTCTTAATTATCCTGCTTGGTTGCCATTTTATATTTTATATACGGGGTTGTTCTTTTTTTAACATTGTATAATTATTTTTCTTTTTGTTACTGTTTGTTTTTGTTGCACACTGCCCAGAGTCACACGGTGTCTTATTTATTTATTTCTCATATTTGTATAGCTGCCCATCTCACAAAAAAGTGACCCTGGGCAGAGTACAACACTCAGTGAAAAAGAAAACCAATAAATGCATATAAAACAGTCATTATTAACACTATTACAAATCCATACAGCTATGCAATAAACAAATCGGTCACTCGCTAGTCTTTTCCGTAAAAGAGGACTCCAGCAAGGCTACTCAGAAAATATAGGTGTCCTAACAACAAAGTCAGAATGACAAAATAAACACTGTAACATCATGATGCAAACTCTATCCTTTCATACTTGTGCTGTGACATCACATACAAGTACATAAGATGTAGAGTTTGGGTCACAATGCAGATATCACTGCTCCTCCCCTCCAGTGAACCCTAAGGACAGAACAGCGTCGTTCAGTTGCTGAAGGTGGGAGACAGGGAAACAGATGGAAGGACCTCCGCTCCTTCCCAGAGATTGTGACCAAGGCCCCCAATGGTGGTCTAATTTCAGAGGTCATTCTGATCTATCTGCCACTGATCTCGATCCTACCCCCATGGCATTTTACGCTGCACATATTTTTATCTCATGCTTTACTCCACATAATGAATTGTATGGCTAATCAACTATTTAAATGCCATCCTTTCTATTTCTGTCTTACACTACTATCCAGTTAGGACAGATAATGATGTTCTTAGGGGTGAACATCTCTAAAATTGAGAAAATAAAAACAGAGACCTATTTAGAGTTGCCAAAAGGTATAAAAATGTGGTTTCCTTTTGAGGGATCACCTCTGATCGCAGAAAGAAAAACCAAAGTGTTGCAGCAAGTGATTAATTTCTCATGAAATCAAAGACAATTACAACTGATGAGGTCATTAAGTATTAATGTGGAAGCTGAAAGGTAATAAAAGGGCAAGAGACTTGGGTGTACTCAATACACACTAAGCGCTCCCATATCATATACCCAAGTCTTCCATCACTAGGTAATACTAGAGCCAAGAACAGATGTGCTCCTCTGGAATTAGTAACCTCAACTGCTGAGCTTCCAGCGTAGAATCAGTGTTTGAATGCTACAGAAAGGTAAGTAGGCTACCGTGCATTGGTAATGAGGGAAAGTTCATTATCTAAGCTTTGAAAATGCTAAAGCGTTTAATTAGCATGGCCTAATCCAATCCACAGTGGCAAGAAGCACCGTTGAAGCAATTCTGGTATTTTACAACAGTGGTTCTCACACCGCTTTCTAGGTGTTTGTGAATCCAGAGCCATGATGACATCATCAACAAAAACATGCAGCGCAGAGACCTCTTTTTGTGCAACGTTCAAGCACAGAGAACGTGACACGTTCCCCAAGGGCTCCTTTTAGGACTCCGTGGGCTGTGTGGCCACTGCTTCTACGGCTCACAAGCCCTGCTTCCTAGTTCCCAACGCCCACCACATCAGTCACCAGCTGGGCCAACTGCTGCTATTCTACTGGTAATGAGAGCAGTAAAGCAGCCGTCTTTGGCAGAAAACCAGTCTGTCTGTTTCACTTTGAGTTCTGCAGCTTGCAGCTGCCAAATATGAATTTTTGCTTGATCTAAAACCACCTTTCCCAACCCCCCAGAGCTTTCTATACCATCCTCTCAGCTGCAGCAGCTTTCTGGCAAGTATGTTAAAAGCAAACGTCATGTTTTTAAGACTGAATATAATTGGAAAGGGTGGAGCGGGTGGGAATTAAGTTGTGAATAGGAATAAACGGACACACCAATTCTCTGCATCGTCCCATTGCTTCAGTTGGTGCTGCCAAAGCATTTGAGAGCACCTACGCCTGGCTCTCATGCAGAAAAGGCTGTCTAGGACACGTATGCACATATGAGTGCATACGTTCCCATTCTTTAGACATTGTGTTTATTCAATAAGAGGCCCTACTATTTTCATTCTTTGGAAAGACGTGAGCTGCTCGAGTTCCCTCTCTAGTAAATCATTCTGATCCCTCAGAATGAAGCTAATGCCCGTGCTTTCTGCTCTGGGCATTTTAGAAAGATGAAAGCTATTTCACTTTATCAGAGCACTGCTATTCTGTCTGTCAAAAAGAAAATCTATAAGCACGGGTTTGTTGTGATTCTTCCTCCCTCCCCCGTCAATATGCAGAACCTATTTAGTGAATAACGTCTAACTAAACATAATCAACAAGCAAATATTCTTACCCATGATTCATGGAATAAAACAGTTAGAAGGTACATTGCGTAATCATAGTTTTGCTTCCTTAGAGGACATCTGAAAAACAAGAAATATCAAATTCCAGCATTCCCAACCAGCAACTGGAAAGCACCGAGTTAAGCCACCCCATGCTACCGCATATGAATAACATGTTAGTCTGTTTACCAGTCTTAAAAAAAAATCTGAATCTGAAAATGGTGACCTGAAGTCACATTTGTGCACTTACAGTAGACTCTACCAGGTTACAACCACGAAAAATAATCTTGAGTCTTTGAATTTGGCAGTGCAGTTTTTAAATTGTGAGACTAAGCTGAAGCCGCCATAACCTAAAGATGAAGCAGGCAGAGAGGACAAAAGCCAGGAAACATATCTATGAGATCCCT